TCCTCCGAACCATCCGACTTGTTCACTTTTCTCACTATTCTTGTTGGTGGATTTTGACAAACCTGTCACACTGGCCTCTGGTTTGCCTTGAACCCTTCCCAGACATGTTTTAGGAACTTAGGAATAGATCTGGGGGCACCTGGGTGGCTCAGTCGGGCTCTCTGCTGTCAACACAGAGCCTGCTTCAGATCCTCTCTCTCTCCCTCCCTCTCTCTGCTCCTTCCCCGCTCACTCTATACAAAATAATAAATAAAAAAAAATTTAGGGGTGCCTGGGTGGCTCAGTCGGTTAAGCATCCAACTTCAGCTCAGGTCATGATCTCATGGTCCATGAGTTTCAAGCCCCAGGTCAGGCTCTGTGCTGACAGCTCAGAGCCTGGAACCTGCTTCAGATTTTGTGTCTCCCTCTCTCTCTGCCCCTGCTCTGCTCACGCTCTGTCTGTCTGTCTGTCTGTCTCTCTCTCTCTCTCAAAAATAAGTAAACATTGAAATTTTTTTTTTAATTAAAAAAACAAAGAACAGATCTGGAAGGCTCAAAGATAACTCTAATACTCTGCGATCAGGACAAAAATGATGCCCAAATGGCATTTCTTGTGCGGTTGATCTGACTTCACCTTGATTCATTTCTACTGACCTGATTCTTAAAAAGTTGTGGACTGGAGGGCACCTGGGTGGCTCAGAAGGTTAAGCGTCTGACTCTTAATTTTGGCTCAGGTCATGATCTCACGGTTTGTGGGATTGAGCCCCACGTCTGGCTCTGTACTGATGGCACAGGGCCTGCTTGGGATTCTCTCTCTCTCTCTCTCTCTCTCTCTCTCTCTCTCTCTCAAAAAGAAATAAACTTTTTTAAAGAGTGTGGGCTTGGACATCAACGTAAGGAGATTCAAAATATAAAAGTGTAAAAAGACATGCAAGGTGTCAGCACTTAATTGACTCTGAAGCCTCTAGCCTTGTAGGGGAAACGACGTATCCTTGGTGACACAGGTGCACTGAGCATTTCCCGTGGCCGCGACACGGTCCAGGGGCCAGTCACTGTCTCCTGTGTGTCTGTTGAGGGCCTTCATTGCGGGGCCCCACAAAGGACTGTAAACAAAGCTGGCGCATGAGAACGGTGACGGGTGGTCTCTCCCCACCCCCACCAACCTCACCACCATCCATGGTCTTCTCTGTTGCTGAGCGAGCCTTCCAAAGGTCACGTTGGCCAGAGCCTTCCTTAGAGTCTGACGAAAACCTCCAGCTGGGAAGCTTCTGGGTAGAGAGAGGGGCAGTGAGGAGCCCCTACGTCCACACCGGGTTCTCTTCTCCGTGACTAGAGATGGACACGAACATCTGTGCACATGATCACGTGTGGCGGCAACAGTGAGCACCCGTGGGGACCACCCCTCAGGAGCCCCCGTGTGGTGGCCACACCGTGATGGAGCGTCCACACTGCCCAGGAGCGAGGTTCTGCCTCTGTCAATGAGTCTCTCGCAAATCCTCCTGGAGTGTCTCGGGCCGTCCAGGGAGCGGGGGCTGCCGTGGTTGATGAGCAAGACGCCCAGAGCTGCAGCCGGCCCCACCGGCCGCCGAGCCATTAGATAGATGAGGCAAAAGTGGGGTCTTGACCACTGAGGGTGGCTGTTGGTCGAGGAAATGCCAACCTCCTGTCGTTGGAATGTGTCCACTCAGACCGCGCCCTGGTTTTCTGGATCTCATTTTGCCAGTCCTGCCTTTGCGACTGAAAGCAGGGATCGTCCCCCCTGCCCTGAGAGCTGGGAGACGGCTGTGGGTGTTCACGACGGTAGGGACCCTCTCTGTGCTCCGGAGCAGCAGGGACAGGAAGGGCTGAAGCAGGTGCCCCCGGGAACCCACCAGCATCTGCAACAAAAATGAAAACTTCTGGCAAGTCCGGGGGACCGTCTTGATCACAAGTGGTATCTTCAAAGCGCTTTAATTACAGAGGATTAAGCCAAACGCCAAGTGCTGGAATGAGGGAAGAATTGGCACAAAGGAAGTCAAGCAGAAAAACCTAATTTCCTTCCTTTAAGGGGAGAAAAAAAAATATACATTTATTTAAATGAACTGCGAAGGAAAAGAATGGCATTTCCCCACCCCCACCCAGAGTTCAGTGGGTCTTGAAAGGACTGCGTGTCTCCTGGGCCAGACCAGCGGCCAGCACCATCAGCCTGTGTGCAGAAATTGGAGGGCAGGCTCGGAACTTCATTACGATGCAGGAGCACCCCCCACCCCCGGACAAATGACTCGCTAATTCAGCCCCTTCTCTCCCACGTCTCCATGCAGGCCCTTGCCTGGCTTAGCTCATATTTTACATTCAGCACCTCTGGTTACCCAGAAATTGCATGTGAAATTGTGAAATCGAAAAGCAGCGGGCCATGTGACTCCATCAGTTCTGCCTGGCATTTGCATCCTCTCTGACTTGTAGCGCTCAGAGGCCGGGCGAGGGGCTTGGCTTACGGAAAGCCCGGAGGCCCCAGACACTACCAAAAGTTGCCGTCTGAATATGTGCCCTCGGCACACCTGCTGTGTGACTGGGGCAGATCTACCCACACGAGCGGGGCTGAAATCAGCACGGAGACGTTCACAGTGAACGAGAGAATTCCCAGTATGGAACGTAGACCAATGTGCTGCTTGCTGTCACACACACAGTGACGGTGTTTTACTCGTAGGAGCCTGTGAGGACCAGTGCGTAATCCCTAGCGCTGTCTGCAGGGATCCCCCGTGGCATCCCGTTTGTGATTCACGGGACCCGGCGTCCGGGGCGAGAAGTTCTAAAACCTTACCGCTAACACGGTGATCAGAGAATGCTAGGATGTCACAGTTCAGAGGGAGGCGAGTATGGGGGAAGGAGGAAGAGGGAGAGAAACAGGAATCACGCACCCACCCTGCGCTGGTTACTCTGCAGGTCAATTTCTTTCATTCTTCCCATGGTCCCCTGAGAGAGGCCTCATTGTCCCTATCACACAGGTGAGAACACTGAGGCTCCAAGAGGCTGGACCACATACGGGAGGCAGTACTTGTCATGATGTAAAAAGTATGAGCTTTGGTGTCAGGACAGAGGTGGGATCAGAGCCCAGCCTTACCACGAACATTTTCAGAGATTTGGGGCAAGTTCTGGAGCGCTAGTTGTCTCATCTGGACAAGGGTACCTATGCATTGGCTTGTCAGACTCAATAATGTCCTTTGGGTGACAGCACAGCCCTAGCACACAATAGACCCCCAGGAAATGGCAGGAATCGTTATATGACACCCCCCCCCCC